CCCCCCCCTGCAACTACCGAACACATGGCCACATATCCCTGTCGTACACAGATTGCCCTGGACTTTTCCAGGTGGTGATATCCGTTTATGGGATACCGCTGAAATCTTCATTTCCCCCGTCAGTGTCTCCCCCGTTGGGCACTGCCAGGGGACTCCCGCAAGGCGGAAGCAATCAGAGAGGAAGTAGCAGTTTGCTGGGGAAAGACGCCATACACAGAGTACATCAGCCGGAACTAAGTTCAGGCTTCTACCCAAATGTGTTCGTGGCAAATCTACAAGTGGCAGGCGTCCAGTTTTTGACCTAGGCAGACTGAATCAGTATGTGCTCCTCGATCGGTTCCACATGGAGACACCATTCAGGGTTCTTCTCTCCATCCACCGTTTTGATTGGCTAGCCCCACTAGACTTAAGCGGGGCCTACCTGCACGTACCGATGCACCCAGCGAGTTGCCATCTCCTTTGAGTCGCATAGCTGGGCCAAGTATTCATATTTCGTGTGTCCCCCCATTCGGGTTAGGCACAGCGCCCTACGTGTTCACCAGAGTGATGAAACAGGTAGTGCTGCTGCTTCACCTAATGTCGGTACACCTCAATCCATACCCAGACTACTGGTTACCAACAACCCGGGCAAGGGGTAATAGCCAAACGCGTCAGGCTAACACAGGATTTACTTCACCAGTTGGGCTCGTTAGTAAATCGACAAGTCCCACCTCGACCCAACGCGCAGTTGGTGTCCCTGGGCATGGAGTTTTGACACAGAGGTGAGCTTGGCTTAGCTATTTCAAGCGTATTGCTTAGCGCTAAGCAGTCTAGCCGAATGCCTAGTCAGCGTTCCCTCAGTGTCCCTCCGTAAACTAATACGGATCATCGGAATGATGACCTCGGTTCGAAGGGTCGCACTATGCAGCCGCCCGGTATAACGCTTGTTATAACGCCAAACTCTCCTAAATAGGCGGGTTTCGATCTCGGACCAAGTGAAGGAAGCCCTGCCCTGGTGGTCGTCACTGGCCAACCTCGGGCAGAGGGGCCTCCTTGGACCTGCTCGCCGCAGGTATAACTCTGGTAGCAGATGCCCCCCCCCCAGGGTTGGTTAGCGCATCTATTGGACGAACAAGCCCAAGGATATGACTCTCAGATAAGTTTCGAGACCACCATATCAACTGGCTCGAACTGAGAGCAGTGTACTTAGCACTACCACGCTTTCTACCCGTAGTTCGAGACCATAGAGTCCTGCTCCGCACAGACAACGCAGCGGTGGTCTCCTTCAAGAAGGAGGGGGGACACATTCCCCATCGTTGTCAGTCCTAGCGGAGCAAAATCCTCCTTTGGTGCCTGGAATACAATGTGGAGCTAATTGCACACCACCTTCCAGGGGTGAGGAACAGTCTGGTGACGCCCTTTCAGGGCGACTCCGTCTCCAGAACACGGAGTGGCTGATACCCAGTGGGTAGCCTCCAGGCTGTTTCGGCTGTGGACGGTCCAAGGTTAGACCGTTTGCAGCACCCCGGAACACCAAGCTCCCGACGTACGTAACACTCCTGCTGACTCCAGGAGCCTGGGCCAGGGTCGCTTTGCTACCCCACGAACCCACTGAGTTGTGTATGCCTTTCCTCCCTTCCCGCTAGTCCACCGGGCACCGGAGAAGACTTCGGCAGGTGCACACCTGCATATTATCATTGGTCGCACCCAATTGACCAAGCAGGGCCTAGTTTCCACTTCTGTCGGAAACAATAGTCGAAAAACCAGCAGTGCTTCCGTACTTACCGGACCTGTCATCCCAACCAGACGGCGCACTACCACGAGCCCAGCGAGTATCACTTACACGCATAGAGGCTCTCATTAGACCCGCACACGAAAGCTTTTTCTGAGCGGGCTGCCAACGTCCTGGCCAGGGCGAACAGGGATGCAGCCTACATTTCTAGGCTGCGAGCATCCACTGTTAGTGTAGCGGAAGGGAGCTTGATCGATACCATCCCTCTATTGGCCAGGTGGCAGGCTCCTTCGTCCACCTGTTTGACGAAGTGGGTTTGTCCTACGCAGCGATCGTTGGCTACAGGTCGGCCTTGTGCCCCACCATTCAAACGTACGGGAACAAAACTGACCTATTATTAGGAGACTATTTACTGCTTTCCAGACGCTGAGACCCCATACAAGGGAACCGCCCAACTGGGACTTGTCGGCTGTGTTGTCTGCTCTAAGCAGACCACTTTTTGAGCCTCTCCGATCAAGCACCACTCAAATTTTTGACGTGGAGTCTTCGTACTGGTCCTCGCCTCAGGTAAGCGTCGGCCAGATCTGGGGGCATTGTCTTTCTCGGATGTACTGCCGTTATGGACAATCAAGTTGTGCTAAAGACACAAATCTGGTTTCTCGCCTAGAACCAAATCCCAGGACATGATCCTCACCCGATCGTCATCCCCCGGCTGTCAAATTTTGTCTGCCCGGAGGGTCATGAGGAATTGCTTCTCTACCCGGTTCGAGCACGGAGTTGCCACCAAACCGTACTAGGATTTGGAATGGGGTGCCAGGCACATCTTTGTGTTATGGCCCAGGCAGGCAGGATAGGTTGGCCTCCCCAACTATCATCACCAGGTGGTTTACCGCGACTGTATTAGAGGTCTAATACTTTATATTCCTCGACACGGAGCTTGCAGAGACAACAAGTACGAGCGCATGAGGTCTGTGCGATGGCTGACTCGCTAGTGCTAGCGTCAGGCCCCCCCCTCAAGCACACATGGAGGGCAGGCTCCGTTGTAGCGGGTCAGTCTTGGTTTGCTGACCCAGCCCGAACGACCGCTAGGGTCCCTGCGCATAGGCAATAAGTCAGTCCGGCATTTTATGCGGACAGATTTCTGTACCGCTTTACGGCCTATTCCCTCATGCAGAACTGTTTCGGTCTTTACTTCGAAAGCTCACTACCCCCCCAGAATTTGGTTGGGGTCTAGTTTTCTTGGGCACACCGAACCCTGTCACCGTAGCAGCATTTTGGCTCCTTGCTTCGGGGACAGCACAGGCAAGGTAAGACACCACCCTTTTTTGGGTCTTAACTAGGGTGTTGAGAGTTTGTTTTCATCCCGGACTGGGAAAAGACTTTCATCCTTTTTTTCTGTTTGCTCGGAAAAACCCGCCACCTATCGGTGTCTGACTCTGCCTACAGTTCAAAATAGTCATTTTGACTGACTGGAGTCTATGGTGGGTAATTGAATGTAGTGAATTTAGGCAAGGGTTCTTCGAACCCGCCTATTCACATAGTTCATACCCACCATAGACTCCGGGTCCCCCCAACATCCCCACTTCTTCCGTCGCGTTGGTCTAAGTCCTCGAGGCGGAGAGAAAGGAACCAGAGTGATGGACGGCTACCTGTGGCGCTGCCAGGTGGCCTCGGTCACGTGGGTTTGTGACGTAAGGGGTAAAAGAATCTTGAGGTCATGGGGCTTCCCCTGACCTGGTTTCCATCTCTCCATCACTGGCAGAATCGCTGATTTATGCCAGTCCTCGAGGCGGAGAGAAAGGAACCAGAGTGATGGACCGCTACCTGTGGCACTGCCAGGTGGCCTCAATCACGTGGGTTCGTGACGTAAGGGGTAAAAGAATCTTGAGGTCATGGGCTTCCCCTGACCTGGATTCTATCCCTCCGTCACCGACAGAATCGCTGATTAATGCCTACAGTTCAAAATAGTCATTTTGACTGACCGGAGTCTATGGTGGGTATGAACTATGTGAATAGGCGGGTTCAAAGAATTCTTGCCTAAATTTGTTTTATACTGTTGCATACAAAGATATACTGTGTGTGCTAATACACATAAACTATATTTGCATCATCACTGTTAGTGGATCATGCAGTGAACTGGTAATTGAGGTGGTAGTAATAACATGACTATTCTACTCCAGATTTAGATTTCTATTTGCAATCACTGTATTTGTCTACATATTTTGTTATTTTAGATGGCCACCCATCCTGGTTACTACTTATCACTAATAGAACAAAGCTTAGGTAAAGAGAGTATTGCCACTGATGAAATTGAACGTGATCTACACAGGTATGAAATCTTTCTTGTTACCAATTACGTGTAGATTGATCACTGATTGGTAGATATAAATTTTAATCCTACATGTGTTGAACATTAAAATGAGTGGACCTACATGTAACCTAGGGTGAGTGTGTCACAGACTAAATGAAAAAGGCCAAATTCATTGGCCCAAATTTATTAATTAATTAATTTACATTAAATTGCCATAATGCCAGTATGATGTGTATATCCATGAATCGTGGTGTCCATTGGAAAAACAAGTTGTAGTATTAGTACAGACTGTTATTCCGATAATATTATACATTGCTGTAAACATCAAATCTTGATTGTTTGTAGATCTCTGCCTGAACATCCAGCTTTCCAATCAGAATTAGGCATAGCTGCATTAAGAAGAGTGTTAACAGCATATGCTTGGAGAAATCCTAGTATAGGTAAGTCTGATTGTTGGTGACTGGCTGTAATCTGCTGCATTTTATATGACATTGGGCAGTGTAATTGTTGGTGTGATGTCTTCCAAAGGTATAAATTATGTAAGCTTGTGTTTAGTTTCTTCACCAATCAGTCTGGTACACTGGCATCTCTTGGGAACTATCAAAACTGTCAGGTCCTATGCTGTTCCTGCCCCTCAGTGCATGTTAAAGAACCTGGGTATTCTCATAACACCAAAAGTGGTGGATTTCCAAGGATGATTGATACCTATTTCCTAGACCTCTATAAAAACTGGGACTTCCAGATTGAGTTATTTTTCGTGTTGAGTATCAAATGAATACATAAAATAAATGATTCAGAAATATAATATAATCATTGATCTAATTTATGTGTAGGATACTGCCAGGCAATGAACATTGTAACCTCTGTCTTGTTGCTGTATGCATCTGAAGAGGAAGCATTCTGGCTGTTAGTTGCCATATGTGAACGATTATTGCCAGATTATTACAATACCAGGGTAGTTGGTGCTTTAATTGACCAAGGTAAGAACAAAATATTTTATTCCATCTTGTGTAGATTGTCATCTGTATGGTATTTTTGGTGATCAATCTTCATGTCTATGTTACATAAAACTCAGGTTCTTGGTATATACATTGAACTGTGAACCTTCTGTGTACTACATGTAGTACATGCTCTTTGCAAAAGTTAGTGGTCTGTGGTCAAAATAAGTGATATTTTATTGATTAGAGATGCTCTTCTGATAGAGTAAATACAGTATGAATGGTGCAAATGTACTTCAACTATTGCCTAGTTTATTTCCACCAGAAATTTTACAAAAAAATATATATAATAGTGCATGTATATACAGAAAGAGAAAATCTAGGTTAACTGGACTTGGTGTTGATGTGAAAGGATGTTAGGACATGCCTTTTATATTTAAGATTTGCCATACTGACAGTGAATATTTCCTTGTTACTGAGTATTTCTTTTATTACTAGGTGTATTTGAAGCATTGACCAAGACGTATTTACCAGATCTCTTTGACAGAATGGACAATTTAGGGTTACTTAATATGGTATCACTTTCTTGGTTTCTTACTATCTTTCTAAGGTATGAGAAGATACTTTGTTTGCTCTCGTTTTTGTGCTTTCTTAATTAATTAATGTTTGCCTACATGTAGTCCTTTTATTGTTGAGTTATTGCTTTGAATACTATGTATAGTATACAGCTTTGTAATAGTGTGGTAAAATACATTTTCCTGAATTGATATACTGTATATATTATTGTTAAATTCAGTTGGTTTGATTTGTGGGGGCAGACGCTTAGCTAAAGAGCCAAAGTGTAATTTCCAGTTTTGTGATGTCTTGTACACAATTATAGCAACTTACAGCATTTTTATGCACTAATATTATAGACTAACAGGTAGTATTTATTTGTCTTTTTCTCATCAGTGTTATGCCATTTGAAAGTGCTGTCAATATAATGGACTGTTTCTTTTATGATGGTGCTAAAGTAATATTCCAGATAGCTCTGGAGATCCTGGATGCTAACAAAGACAAACTATTGGAGTGTGCTGATGATGGTGAAGCTATGACTGCACTGGGTGATTATCTAGAAAATGTTGCCAATAAAGATGCTACCTTGCCTCACATGCCACATACTTCAGCTATGAGTTATGGAGAAGTTGTACAGAGAGTAAGCATATCTTAATTATTCTATATATTTATCAGATAATATGAACTAAAGATAAGGGGTTGAGTGTACCAAATGTAAATTATTGAAGTGTTTTTTTGCAATGACTCAATCTCATAAAAGTTACTCGGCTCTCAGATTCTCAGAATTTATGAAAAGCGGTTCCTCTCAAGTTGAAGTGGTGCTATATTTATTTGCCTTATTAAATGTTTAGTTTAATTTGTAAGCAGAACACAACCTTCATATCATGTTAGAATTTCTTATATGACATTAATCTCTGATTTCATCAATAAATTGTCAATGCAGTAGTATTGTGAAACATTAATTGGAGTACAAATGATCATTAATATTTTGACAAATATGACTTGTAATTGTCTCAATATCACATGTGGTGTTTAGTTTCACTAAATCTCTATATTAAGTAAGGTTCTTTTTAATTTATTGGTGAACTCTATTTCTCTGCAATGCTCTACTCTCACCCAATCGGATTAATAATGATGACAAATTTAACGTATAACAAATTTATATGCAAATTATCAATTTCAATAGTATTTAGCTGTTCATGCCCATGTGCCATGCCCATGATTGATCACATTAGTGTTAGGGTTCGTGCTGAGTTGGAGTTGGCATTCAAAGTGTGAAACAAGTGCTCCATGCATCATTTTTGAGTTTCAATGAAAACTATTACTCATTTGCCTCAAGTGGCTAACCCAAAATAAATTACTGTTACTCTATTACTTGTGTATGAATTTCATGAGAAACCAGTGACTTGATGATTTGGCAATTACAGAATTATCCTCTTGTTTTGAATGAATTTTCCACATTCATACTACTCCTAGTTTTATTGTGATTTATCTGTTATTTCCATGTATTCATCATTGTTCATAGATGAGAAGGGTAAGTTTTCTATAAGTAGACATAAAAACAAATAGGAAATTAAATAGAATATTCCCCTAAGAGGGCAGCATACTATAGTTTGTTTATGCATTTAATAGTTGGTTCTGTTGTTATATGAAAATGAGGTTTGATGCATGCAGGTGTTTATAAATTAAGCAATCAATCTTAAGTGTATACAGTACCTCTCATTTGAAAAATTATTCTACAATTCAATGTTTTGTATAGACAAGTGGTTCTGTTTCAAGTTTAGGATGGATGATAGTGAAACTTAGACGTTTCTGGAATTAGCTTAGTGAACTGTTGAAAGAAATTAATTTTGATATCTATCCAAAAAAATAAAGGGTTGTCTTTGAAGTTAAGCATTTATACTGTTTTGCCCAAAATGGCCATCATTTTAGGTGCATTGAACCCCACATACCCACTGATCCATCTATGCTACCAACCTATCCATTCTTCAAGATCTGAAATCTATGAAGTATTGTTTAAGAATTGCTCATGTTTGCTGCCAGTATTCAGTTCATTTATGTAGGCATCAATGCTATGGGTTTCACCCAAATAAATAAGTATATCTTAGATTGACAGTTTATGAATGTGATAGTAAACATTGTACTGATATAACTGGTTTGTTCAGTCAATAATCAAATCATCAAGTCCATGAGAAAATATCTTAATAACTGATATATTTAGACAATAATTCTGATTGGATTAGGTCAGTGAACAAGTTCTGACATTATAATTTGGTTTGTCATAGATTTGTCTCAAATTTGTGAGGTGTATCCAGTGCTTGTCTAGCAGAGACTACTAGAAAATATCCAGTAGTCTTGACACAATCTAAACTATCACAGGACATCTAATCAGGACTCCTCTTCCAGGGGTGAATTTTCTTCTGATAACAGCAATGTAATATGTTTTGTAACTGACTGCTGGACTTTCATGTTGTGAATTGGGTTAACTGTCAATGCATGCTGATGGGTGAATTTTGCATGCTAGCAACTTTATTGCAAAAAAACATGGAGTTAAAAGACAGTCTTTTACCTCCATGGAAAAACTAACTGGTAAAATTGTATGCTATAAAAAATCATATATAAGTTGAAGTGTTAAGATCATTCATTAATCCTTGTTTTGTTCACTTTTACACCACTGCATGTTTTCATAATTTCATTTTGGCATCTTAGTGTTTTATTGCTATTAACATATTTTGAATCCTGTTTCATTTCCAATAGCCCTTGAGAAGAGGCCTTGTAAGTCCTGTTTTGATTTTTTTGCTTTTGAACCTTCCTACCTCTCCTTACTTTCTCCTCACCCATTTTGCCAACTTTTATTTTATGCAATGATCATCAGAATTGGCATAATATATTTACAGTTTTCTGATTTGTAGGTACATGTACATGTATTGTACTAATGACAATTGATCATGCCATATTAATCTCAAAACTTCTTAACAAAGATAGCACTGGTTTCTGTTATACAGTGAAATTTTGTGTAAATGAACAAAATGTTCATTGTTTTAATATACTATAATATGTATTGTTTTGCACACTATATTTCCCTCTATATCATTATGTATGACATGTGTCCATCTTGAATAGATTTGGAAACAAGTCATCCTGTCTACTGAGCACACATACACTACATGTGCATACAATTTTTACTGTAAAATTTGTATTAGAAGCTGTATCCCTAATAGAATCCACACCTATTTGTTTTCAACAATTTAGAACCAAAAATTCACAGAATCTCATTTGGTTTGGGCTTATTAGTCCAATTCAGATGAAGTGCAAAAACGCGGACTTATAATTCGGTCTCTGTGCGTCCGTCCATGCGTCCGTCCGTGCATCTGTCCGGAGTCATATTTCAGAATTCTTTGAACCGGTTCCGTTCATTCTTTGCATGTGCCTAGTACTTTATGTGGGACATATGCACATGCAATGGTTTAGCGATTCGATTCAAAATGGCCGACGGGCAGCCATCTTGTTTTTGACTCCCATGTGCGAAGCACAAAATGGGAGTCTTTGCAGTTAGTGTGTCTGTATGTGTGTGTGTGTATGTATGTGTGTATGTGTGTATGTGTG